TTTTTTTTTTTTTTTTTTTTTTTTTTTTTACCTTTATTGTAATTTATAGTACAAAATTTTATAATTTATTTTTATGTAACAAATTTTAAACATAATTCTTTTATGTTTATTACTTTAGCCTCACTTATTATAGGTTTACCCTAATCAAATGACGTATTATTTATACTGATTTTCAGTGTTAATTTTTTTAAATAAAACTTTTGACATACAAAGTATCACTATAAAACCAATGTATTTTAACAATGTTGACACCCTGAGATTTATCTATCATCTATAGCACATTAATAAATAAATAAATAAAAGAAAGAAAAGTAGGAACAATAAACATGGAGACATATTGTTAAAGTACTAATATCTGTTCTAATTAAAGTAAACCTCTCTTAGTCTAATACAACATATTTCGCAATAATTTTTATTTTATATAATATTTTAAATTCCACTGAACAAAGGCTAATCGAATATAAAATTTATCCACCAGTATGACTTTTTTTTTTATTTTTTTTTTATAGTCGTGTGCATAATAAATATTATATATGATTAAACTTGCTCAAACCGACACGAATTTTATACCATCAATAAAAAAAATTATGGTACACACACAGTAGGGACATGAAAAATAAGAATTGAACATGATCTAACTAAATAATCGTACATAAGTTGATTATAATTAAATCTAAATAAAATACATCTTTGCTACAAATATAGTTCTCCAGTTAAGCTTTATTTTCTTCATGTTTAAAAAATTGTTCTAATATTTCTCTGCCTGTCAAATGGAAAACTATTCTCATTTTTCACTAACATGCTATTAGATATCCATAATAGATTACATGATCCAGTACTCAATTTAGCTCTAGTGGCAATGGAATTAAGAAAAACAAAAAAAGCTTTGATTAGATCTATGAGATAACATGACAAAATTTATTTATAAGAGGAAAGATATATATAATCCAAGTAATTAATTACACTATCTGGTTGATAGATATACCTGTTCGTCCTTCCATGTACTCAGCAATTGAATCCCAGTTATAGGGACCGTATTGTCGAACAAGTTGGCGTAGCTTTTTGTCCTCAGCGTGGTTCCAATGATGAATACGTCGGCGAGGCTTGATGGTCATGTCCTCATCACAAGCTGCTAAAAAATTGGCCATGGCTGTGTGTGGACTCAAACTCTTGAAATGAAGAACAACAAAGACAAGTCATAAGAAAATGAAAGTGGAAAAAGGGGAACAAGGATATATATAGAGAGAGGATGGTTTAGGGATTTGGATGGAAAGTTGGTATAAACAAAGTGCTAACAATACAGTTATCTCATCGCCCTCAGTTTTGTTTGAAATTAATTGAAAATCACAAAATTATGTGTGAAAGTCATTAAATAAGATGTGTATAATTTATCAAATTTTATATTTTTAAATAAATTCAACTATTGAGAGAGTGTTTAAAAAAGTGTGGTACAAGTTAAAAGTTTTAAAAACCTTATTGTTTAAAAATAATATATTTTTTTTCTAGTAAATTTTTTGTTAAAAAATATTTCTAAACTTGTATTCCAACTATTTTAATATGATGTATATCCTTCCTATGCAACTTTACATGGAAATGAAGAACTATTTGGCATGTCATTGGCCATTGGTTATTAAATATTTAAATTCTCTTCCAAATTAAACTTTCCTTTATTACTGTTATTTTTATTTTTAGACTTACATGCATTTTATTTATTTTCAAACTATTCTAGCTCTATAATAAACAGGCAACTCGTTATCAATTCCATAGCATGGTTGATTTCCCACATGTGCTTAGTGTACAGCAAAAATACCCTTTGGAGACAAAAGGAGTGGCTACACCTGGTTTTGTGATGGAGTAAATATATTTTGACATTTAAATATGGGTTTAATACTGATGAACTAATAGTGTAAAAAGTGATAAATTTATTATTTATAGTATATTCTGATTAGTTAAAATGTATAAAACTATTTTATATTGAGCGAGTGGATCACAATTAAATTTTTTAAATATTTCAAACCCAATTTGACACTTCATATTTATTAATATCTCTCTTTTTATTGAGTTGACGTAAACTCTTTATAGTATGAGTTTGATTTCATATTTATTTAATATCTCTCTTTTTATTGAGTTGTCGTAAACTCTTTATAGTATGAATTCGATTTTCATATGGATAAAAAGTATACCTATTATACCTGTCACTCATATATTTTTTTCTTCTTTTCTCTTTCTAAGTATAGAAAAGCATACGAGTGTGCATAAAAAGTTTTTCTTTGTAATATTAAATTAAATGCACTGCAGGAGGGTCTGTTTTATTGCAATGATGATTTTTATTTTTATTTTTACCGAATGTGGAGTGGTATATGATTAGAAAGTTATCAAAATCTGTTTGTCTATTTTGGAATGAAATTCGTTTGATTTCTCTTTGATTTTATTGGTCAGTTTTGGTATTTCTTTTGTATATGCTAGAGTTCATTTTACTTGTATAAAAAGAATGAAACTGGCGAACTTAAATATGAAGCTTTTTCTAAAAGATAAACAAAATCGTAGATGTAATATATGAATAATTATTTATTCAACAATAAAAATTGTACAAATCATTCATACTTTATTTCCAACTAAATCACTTTTCTATATAAAACTTATTTAGTTATTAATCAAATTTATCGAAAGCTGTGCGAATATCGATATCGCAGTAACAAGACATATGTGGGACGTGAGATTGTTAAATACATAAAAAGTTCAATAACTTTAAAATAAATTACACTTCTCTCTTATAAAAATGAACGTATTATATTATATGGTTGAAATATATAATTAGTTTATTTAACTTAACATAATTAAAGAAAAGTACATTGCCATCTCTAGAGTAATATTGCGCTAGATATCCCCTTTTCTTATATTTTCTTTTGGTGACAAAAAGTAACCCCTTTTCTTATATTAAAACATGGAAACAAAATTAGTTTGTGTTTTTTAGCCGTGAGTATTACACTATATATCCATCCTTAAGTTAAATTATATATTTAGATTATTTGAAAAATAAAAATAACTTTAGCCAATGAATATTATTCATTACAAGATTTTTAAATTCAATATACTCAAAAATATTTATTATTTACTATATTATCATCCACTCGATAAATTTTTAATATAATTAAAAATATTTTATTAAAATAATTATTAAAAACAGAAATTGTGAGATAAATTATATATATGCGAAGTATTAAATTTATGATAATTTCATTTTATTTAATAAGAAATTTTAATATAAATGTATTCAGTTGTATGTTTAATGTACATATATTAGATTTATATTTATTAAATTCAATAAATATATTATATTTATTAAATATGTATAATTAATGTTGTAGAAGAAAAATAAGAGTTTATGTAAATATTTATTAAAATACTATATTAATAAAATCAATTAAATACTTCCTTAATATTTGTATTTAGATTTATATTAATTTTTTTAAGAATTTTAATTTACTTATTTTTCTATTCATTACAAATAAGCGTTTTCCATCGAACACATAAAAATTTGATAAACATCAAATAAATAAGTATCACTTCCTAGTTTGAGTTTGTTGCATTCATAAGAGTTAGAATTTGATTTTTAATCACATAATTTGATTGAGCGGCGTGAGTCTCTTACTACTCATCTCAATTCAAATTATATATAAGGACATAAATTTATTTATACATATAGTAAGCTATAATATTTGTATGTTAATTATGGGAAGAAAGTGTAACTTTTTTTATAAAAAAAAAATGTACAGACTTACATTTTTGAAAGGGTGACAATTAGCGTAAAAGATGTTTTAATTATAGTTTTTTTTCTTCAAGAAATTGTTTCAAAGAGTGAAAAATTATGTATCAAAAAATATGCAATAAGAAAAAATACATTTAGAGGCCGAAAATTCAGTACTAGTTGCTAAATTCAATTAATAATTAGAGACCTATTCAACAAAACAGCCACTAAACCACTGTCACGGTAGTTAATCCGGCTCGGCCCGGCTCGACTTATTACAGGTTGACCATTTGGTGGGTCAACCTAACCTAACTTATTTATTAGTGAGCTAAAAAAATTTGAACCTGGCCTGGCTTACCACGGGTTGGTGGATTAAACGGGTTGGCTCACCGAATTTATAAAAAAAAAGATTCGCGCACGTGGCTTGCGGTGCTTGCAGAATATACATGTCTGATTTGCGCAGTGGCTCGCGGTGGCTCACGGTGCGCGGTGCGCGGTGGCTCACAGTGCGGCGGTGGCTCGCGGTGCGCACGGTGGCTCATGATGCGGTGCGGTGACAGTTGTGCGGTGCAGTGCGGTGCAGTGCAGTGGCTTATGGTGCGGTGTGGTGACAGCTATGGTGGCTGTGGTGTGGCAGCTATGGTGGCTGGTACGGTATGGTGACCATGTGAGAGAGTCTGAGGGTGTGAGAGTGAGAGGGTCTGAAGTGATTTGTGAAGTTCAAATTGAAACCCTAATGGGCTGCATTGGCCCAATAATTTTTTTTATTACGGGTTGGTTGGTCAGCCCGACTCACCACGAGTTCAACCCGAGTGAGTCAGGTTCTTAGTGAGTCGGGTTCAAAATCGGCCCATACTGAAATTTTTAATTTTTTTTACCCAACCCGACTCGAACTCGTGGTGGATCGGATTGGCTCACCGGTATTTTGACAGCTCTAATTAATATATTAATTTGAAGATTCCATATATGGATTACCAAACACTGCTTCCAGTATTTTTATAAGAAACAAAATGATAATGTAAACTACAATATCATTTCATAGAAAGGACTAGAGAAAAAATTTAAAAAGTAAATTTTTTTTTCTTGAAAATATATGAATTTATGTTGGAACCTACGTTCAATTATTTAACCTTCAACATGTAGATAGTTAATAATTAATGTGATACCCTCTACCTATCATGCATAATATTATGAACATATAAAATTTATGAAAAAAGTTACTGTATTGAATAACTCATATAAAAGTAAAAGGTATCACATCTTAAATTCACACTCAAATGAAAAATCTAATTATTTCAAATATTTAAAGAAATACATATAAAATATAAAGTATGGTCCTTAGAAAAAAAAAACCATAAAATCATGTTCCAAAATCTCTGATGTCATAGGTGTTAGAGTTATCTTCTTATTAACTAGACCCCTCCAAAAAGGTTGTCTCCTACAAACACATAAAAATATCCCCAAAAGAAACAGGAGAGTGAGAACATATCTTCAATTGTCATTGTAGAATAAGATTGAATAGCCACACACAAACAAAATAATTAAATAGATAATCATATATTTCACCAAACAATACATAAGTAACATGATAGAATTTTAACCAATACAACTCAATTCATACTTCATCCCATCACAATATAAATCAATATATATAACTCAAATACAAGCTATATGTTATGATCATATCAAGATTAGACTCTCCTAACTATATGTATGTGGTGCTAGCAGAAACACTTTTCCCTTCCCAAAGGCTGAGTAGTATTAGAGTACATGTTGGATCAAACCATCACAATACTCTCACTAAAAGGATATATTACTAGGATTTCGTCGGGATAACTGAGTTGTGCTAGATATACCCCATGCAAACAATGAGCGAAACTAGGACTTCTCAAACCAAGCTATCCCCATAGACTAATCTCCAAGCTTTTACACAAGAGATCTTCCTTAACAATGTAGTCTGCATCATACTCATCACAAAACACATATGCACATGATGCATGACTTCAAGACTTTATGCACTTTTAACAAGAAATCTCTTATCAATTTATAATTCTCAACAATTACTTCACGATTTATTGTTTATCTCATTCACTTAGCACAAATCTCTTGTCACTTATCATAGTATGAGTATGACTTATTTACACAATTCATACACCTATACGCATATGAAATTTAGGTTCTACAATAGAGCCGTGTCTAGTGAGACACACCCTACTCCTAGCACGTGTGAGGCTACAAGCCTTTGGCAAGGTTAAGCCTGACGTGATTCTTCCCGTGCCGGGTGACATGCATCCAAGGAGCCACTAGAGCTCTTGCGTTTGGCGTGACCAAACTCATGCTCGACATTAATATTATTGTAAGCATTTTGAGCTTTCACACTTGGCGTGGCCAAGCCTATGTACGACGTGGTCAAGGCTACAACCATTT